AAACAGAAAAATTCCTCTAAGAAATGCCTGTTTTCATCCTTTGATATCACAACCTGTACTTCAGTTATTTCACAGACCCTTACATTAAATATACACAGACAGAGGAACAAAGTGATTGACAGTTTGACATACATATGACCTAAACAAGTTCCATGCTAAAATAAAGGGTAAAAAGAGTAACAGGAGTTTCTTTTGAAAGGACAATAAAACACTATTAAAAATGTGTTATTTGAATCACAAGCTCCCTAAGAACAGCTATGTTTACCAGAAACATCTTCCCAGTTATGCCACTCTTATTTTTCTGCCATTAGAGCAGCTCCTATCAATTAAGGTATTCAATATTAAGAAACAGGCTATAAGCTAAACATTCTATGTATGGGTGCTGTGGAGGGAAAAATTGTTTATCAACAGCCAGCAGCTTTCAACCACTCAATACTTCTGATGACTGTAATAGACAGGTGTAGGAAGGATGTTTTTGAGCTTTTTTTAATCTCTGCTCTCATCTTTTTGTAGCTATTCCTTAGAAAGCATCACAGTCTACAGCTTTACAATCTGACTGCAATCCCATTTAAAGCTTATCCAGAATAAAACTTCGTTTCATAGGAAGAGCTTGCCAAAGTGGACAGACCTCAGTTTGCTGTTCTTCAGTTAAGACTTTCACATCACATTTGAAGGATTTTTTAAATTGTTTGTTCTTGTGGCACACAGTCCATCTGCTGACACAACAGCTCTTAAAACTGGTTTCAGAGGGATATTAAGCCATAACCCCATTTCCTAAACAATTTCTAAAACATCTCTGAGCAGATCCAGGACTTTCAGTGTCCATGGAGGCCGTGGTGTCTCTCCTCTGTCGGCCTCTGGGGTGTGCTGCAGACCTACACTCCATCCTCTCACACTTAGTAAATATTAAAAATCCCTCGATACAGCTACATCCTCTCTCTTTTCAAATATAAAAGCAGTACCTGTTTTTGTCCAAATACTGCTCCAATGTTCTCCTTTAAACTGGGACTTCCAGCAGTGGATATCACACAGCTTTTTTTCCCCTGGCCAATTTGATTAGTGCAGTTAATCCTCACTCCTTTGGAGACAATACAGTAGGCCTGCAACAGCTGGACCATTTTTGCATATTCCTATTAAAGGAAAAAGAAAGTTCAAATTCATATGAAATCTCTTTTTAAAACACAAATGTATAAACAAAACATTCAATATCTGCAGGTAACAAAGGGGGGGGAGTTTTATTCTTAAAATCTTTACAACTAAATTTAAAATATATATATATATATATATATATATATGAAAAATAGAACTTTAAAAATAAACAGGATGTTTACAAGACATATTCAGCCACAACACAGCAGTCCCTGGTTTTAAAATACAGATAAGTGATCATGATATGGATTCTTTTCAAAATCTGAGAATGTACCTTTAAATCCAAATATTGCAAAATAGAAGAGAAAAGCATACAAGAAGACTTTTGTTATTTGATTAAGATGTAAAACAGGCATGAAATAGTCTGTAATCAGTACATTCTACAGAGAAGTGAATTTCATTCAGCAGTGAATAAATTCTGGGGGACAATACTCCTTTGAATTGCCAATTTCTGACCTTTTTGATGTTCCTTTGGAACTCTTTATGCCGCACTGGTAAGGTGTAAAAGAGCTGCTGGATGCTGACAGTGGTTCCCTGCTGCCGTGGGAAAGGAGTCCTCTGAGTAATTCTGCCATTGTGGTCAAACACCAAACGAGTCCCAACCTTTGCTGACTTGTGGCAGGTGAAAATGGTAACATCACTAGTGGGAGGACAGAGGCAACAGAATTATTCACTGAGCACCATTTTATCTCATCTGCTCCTCATGACAAGCAGCATAGAAACTACAGCAATACTATCAATTTTATTAAAACAACTCTTCCCCATACACAACTAAGAACCTGCTCTTCAGAGTAGTGTAACATTTCCACAGCTACACATTCTTATTTGTATCCCTTTCATCCCCCTCTTATAGAGCTCAGTGTTAAAACCTAGTTTTGCTGAACACTACATTCCCATTCTAATAGATACCAGCAGCACTGTTTACAAAGGCTGATTTCAAATGTATACTGGGTCTGAAAGAAATTTATTACAGCCTTAATGAGTTACAGCCTAACAACCAGCACTTAAAATTACAGTGCTTTACATCAGAGGATCAAATACTCATGCAAATACACTATTCCACCCTGTAAAGATCTGCATCCTTAAGTAACACCAAATTTTGTATATAAAATGACCAATTAGGTGCTTAGAAACACAGAATAATTTTGGTTGGAAATGACTCAGGATGTCATGCAACCTATTTCTCAAAACTGACCTGACAGTAAGGAACTGGAAGTTTCCAAAGCCCCACTCTGTCAATAATGGTAAACTGAAAGGGTGCAGTGCTTTTGTGCATATAGTAACTTCTACTACTAATAAATAATATTAATTACCTTAATGCACACAGTGAACTCAAAGCTTCACCTCGAAACCCAAATGTTTCAACATGTATTAGATCAGAAAAATCTTGTATCTTTGATGTGTAATGTTTCAGAGCTGGAAAAAGATATTTCAAATTTACATTTTACTTCAAAGTGCCACTGGTCTATGCAAGTACATTTTGTATGCATATCAAGAAGCAAAACACCTTCTGTATTATTCACTGCATTTTACATAACCATTAAAGACAAAATACTGCTTGCTTTCCCTTTTTCCTATAAACAAGATCTCTTTAAAATCCTCAGCTGCACCTGCTATTTCCCACTTACATCACAGATTTATTCAGCATTATTGCTACAAGCTCTACAAGATGCCTCAGAGCAGGACACAGTACCTGCCTCTGCTGCTGCTGGACCTGTCCCAGACTGTGCCCTGCCAGAAAGCAGCAGCAGCAGCAGCCTGTGCTGGGCATGGGGCACAGAGGGCAAGCCCAGGCACCACCACAGCTGAGGAGACTCAAACCACACCATCAGTGCAGCACCAGTCACCAGCTGACAAACTGACCCAGCAGCAGCAGCCCTGGACTTTCACTGGGCTGGAACAGCAGCACTTTGAGTTTCTGATGAGCTAAAATTGCACAGTGAGCACCAAAATTACTGAGTAATAACCTATGGGGCAAAGATTCCGAGGTGTTTTATCAAAAAAGAAATGGCAGCATTTCCACTGCAGTGGCTAGTTAGATTCATCATTCATCATTTGTTTCTGCTCCCATTTTGTGCAATTCCAAACTAGCAAATGGGAAGGTTGACAGTCAGGGCAAGGTCAGCTCCCCTTCAGCAAATACTCGAGTTTATAATTCACCTTCCCAAAGCAGCCCCTTCCACACAGCTCAACTCCTTCAACAACGACCAATGATTCAACATGAATTAATCTACATGGACTTTTATAAGATTTTCTCCTCTGTGATTATTTGTATTGCTTGTGCCACTTAAATAAGCTAAGGAACCAAAGTCTATTTCTGAGTTACAAGAACTATAACCACAAGAGCACTATAGAAGATCAGCCTAGTGTTGCTCAAGTCTTGCAGGTAACACACACATTATGTAAAAACCAAGTGTCCATTAAATATGATTGATTAAACTAAATGCCACATCTAAATTACAAAAAAAATTCAACTTACTCAAGCCTTCAAAGTTTTCCTCTTCCACTCCACCTCCATTATCTGAAACTTCTATCAGTTCTGCCCCATGATCTTTAAGCTTTATCTCTACAAAATTGAGTCATAAAGTATTTCAATTCTTTATGTTCACACATAGTGTTTGGTATCAATTTTGCACTTGAAGTCAATTTTTCAAATAACAGCTTTCCATGTCAAAATTGAATAATAACAGAAAACAAACAAACAAAAACCCCCTAACCTCTGACAGCTGTCAAAAGTTAGGTCAATCTAATGCAAACCAGTCTGTAGTTTCAGGCAATTCAGCTTCACTGAACTTTTGTCTAAACAGAAGTTTTCCCAATTATCCCAGCCACCATCCTGGAAGCTCTGGAAGCCAGTCCTGCCTTTACCCTGTGCTAGCCCTAGGGTGGCACAGCCTGATCATTACTCCTGCATGGAACAACCCCTTTATGAGTGGCCAAAGGGGCCACTAGAAATTAAATAACACAATCTCACATGCTGCTAGGGATGCAGCTGGAGTCTGGGAATCAGAATGTTTTATTAACCTGAGGTGGAAAATCACTGCAAAGATGCTTGGCCCGAACAGAAAGTATTTACCCGGATTTGTTAACATGCACTCGGTTTTGAGGGAAAAGACGTGCTTTAGAATCCTATGGAAAGTTCTAAAACTCGAGGAAGAGTTACCGATGTTGGTAGCTCCGGCATCCAGGCTGTTCTCCACCAGCTCTTTCACGGCAGTGCCGAGGTTCAGCACGACCTGCCCTGAGCAGATGCGATGCACAGACCGGCGGTCGATGGGCCGGATGGCCCCGGCGGGCTGCGGGCTGGGGACAGAGGGACAGCAAACCACGGGCAGCGGTGAGAGCGGGCAGAAACCCCAGCCAGGCTTCCCCAAGCGAGCGGGGAGGGGAGGCAGGAACCAGAAGAAGCCGGAACCGCGCCGGCGGCCGGGGTACGGCCCGTGCGAGGAGCGCGGCTCCCGTGAGGGGAGCAAAGCGGCCTGGGCAGGGGGTGCGAGCGTGGGGACCAGGGCCGGTACCGGGTCGGTGCACGCACTCACCAGGGCGCAGCCGCCTCCATCGGGGCCCCGGCGGGGCGGGACGGGCCGCGCTCTCCTCAGGTTCCCGCCCCGCTCGCTCAGCGCTGGGAGCGGCCGGAGCGCGCCCGCCCCACATGGACGGCGCTCCCGGCCCGGTAGCGCAACCCGCCCACCGTCCTGTGGGGACGCGCTCCGCGACTCAACGCCGGCCAATGGCAGGAGGGCGGGCCGGCGATCCCGTAGCCCATTGGGTGCCAGGCATGTCACTCACGCGCCGCTCCGCCAATGGGCGCGGGGGTGGGCGGGCCGGCGGCGGCGGAGTGGGCGCGCGGCGGGCCGGGAGCCGCCATGCCCGCGATGTACAAGGTGCGGCCGCTGCACAGCGCGGCGGTGCTGGCGGAGCACCTGCCCAGCTGCATGTACCCCCTGCCCAACCTGCACCGCGCCCCCGGCACCGCCGCGCCGCCGCAGGTACGAGCGAGGGGTGGGCGGAAAGACCTGCTTGGGCTGCGGCCCGCGGTGCTCGCTCTGGCGAGGTCATGCGGCTGCTGGGCCGGTATTCCCTCCGGTGAGAGCCCCAGCTCCGTAGGGACCGGGAGGAGCCTCCGGTGCCGGAGAGCTCCCGGGACCGAATCCCACCGCCTCAGCCCCCAGGAGGGGCCCTGGCTCCGCCTCGCCGTAAGCGGCGCGACCGAGGGTTAAATGAAATCAACGTTTTCAAGAATTTCTCTGTAATGTTTTTAAAGTCTTCCGCAGTTCTCATTTTAACTTTTCTGGGCTCTCGCGTGTGTCCCTGTGGTGGATTTTGTGTTTGAATGGCCGTGCTGAGCGCCCAGCAGGCCTCGCTCCGTCCTGCTGCATCATCGCTCTGCTGCCTCAGCTCGGGCTCCGGCCAGCTACGCACCCTCGGTCTCAGTTTCTAGTTTCAGTTTCTTTTGCCTTAAATAAGACGAAAACGCCAAATAACTGCGTTACATAGGTCTAGTTGAGCAGCCTCTCTCCAGTGCCAGGAGTGCTTGGCATTCTCACAGGCCGCTTGTGGCCAATTTTAGCTTGATGCCATCCTGGATTTGCTGTCCCCTCGCCCGGCTGATGGTGGAGGCACTGAGGAGGAGTAACTTTGGGGCAGAACTTAACAGAAATGCTGATGAAATGCCTTCCCATTGCAAAGTATGGAATTGTGTATACTAACTAAATAATGGCCACTTAACAGGTCTTCCCTGGTCTTGTCTATGAGAATATTATGTTAAGTGGATATAAAGATTTTACTTGGATACTTTATCTCTTCATCCATGATAGTTTGGGTTTGTTTAATCGTTACTCAGGATGCTTAGAAATAGGCTATTTGAAAATTTTTCTTTAATGTTATTTTTAAGCTTGTAGACTTAAAACCTGCCACAGGAATATATTTTTCATCTTCTTTTAAAAGATTGTAAGATGAGTTGCTTGTAAGGTAATACAGATTAAAAGCTGCATTGGTATTAACATGTATTTTTTCCACTATAATTTATATTCTCTGAGACAAAGACTGAATCCACACAATATACCATCCATCTAAACTTGCAGAGCTTTTTACTTTTATTAACTACCTGATTTGTCAAAGTTTCCTTGTTTGGCCACTGTACCGCAGACTTACCAACTTTGCTCTTTTGAGCTGAAAAGAACCTGACAAGCTGTCTTTGATTTTTCAGTCATTGTTCAGCACTTCACTGCCAACTCTTTGTCTGATTTTGATTGTGTTACAGAGTTTGCTGTAACTAATGGCTTAAAAGAACCTGTGAAGCAGGAAGATTTCAGGAATTTATTAAACATGCCATTTCACCACACTCATACAGACAAGAGATTACTGATAGACATAAGCCCATGGTCTGGCTATTTGAAAGTCTTTAATCTTTCAGAACTTAAGAGAGCTGTAGACTGTTTTGACACTGAGTTGAGTGAATGTGTACATGGCCTTGTTTTTCCCTCTCCTGTAGGAGGAGGCTGACCCATCACTTCAAGCACTTGAATCCCGCCAGGAAGAGATTCTGAAGCGCTTGTATGAACTGAAGAGTGCTGTGGATGGACTCTCCAAGATGATACAAACCCCAGATGCTGACTTTGATGTAACAAATATCATTCAAACTGATGAATTTTCTCCTTTGTCAACAAATGGAGCAGATTTAGATCTGATGCTTGGAAAGGTGAGTTTAGTTGAGCAGCTACATTGGTACTTTCTCAACATTCCATTTTCAGGGCTGGAAGGGGGGTATTAAAACCTGGGACACTCAGAACTCAATACACAACCTACAATTGCCATTTAATTACATGTCAAGGAAGGAATGTATTTAAAGGTTTAAACAAGTTTTAAATGTCCAAGCTTGAATTTATTTACTTTAATATCGTTAGAATTTCAGATACACATATGCATGACTATGTACATTTTGGTGTCAAATGAAAGCAATAGTTATGAGTATGATCTGGAATGTGTCTTACCTGCTGAATGTTTTACTTTCCATTCAGGATTATGGAGCCCTGAAAGATGTTGTCATCAATGCAAATCCTTCTCTACCTCCACTGTCACTGTTAGTGATACACAGTCTGCTTTGTGAGCGGTACAAAATATTATCAGCTGTTCACACACATTCATCAGTGAAAAGTGTGCCAGAAAACCTCTTGAAATGCTTTGGAGAGCAGACTAAGAAGCAGCCACGTCATGAGTATCAGTTGGGCTTTACTCTGATTTGGAAAGATGGTAAGAAGGAAATTTGTAGATCAATATTTTACAATAGATGAGAAAATGAAACTTGTGCTATAAACCCTTACACAGAGATGCCTCATTGTCCCTGTGCTGACATATGGTGGATATGAAGAAGCAGGAAACATTTTTGTTCTCTTTTCATAGCTGTGAACCATGCTGGGCCAGAAGAGGAAGATTCTTGTTCATAGTTACTGCTGTTAAAATACACGTGGCATTGACAGGGTTGTTTGTACCCTCTGGTTTTGGGGTTTTTAAAAAATGTTTTTTAGTTTCTACAAATAAGGTAACTAGAAGAGAAATTACGGAGGAGATTTGGCTAAATTTTTCAAAAAGTGATCTCTTTATCCCACAAGACTGAAAACTGCTCATCAGGTTAATGATATTAACAGTGATGCTGGCATCACAAATGTTCATCATGGAATTACCATTCTAGTAATTTCTTTACTCTGTTGGATTCACTTTCATTTTTTTTCCTGTTAATTTCAGTTCCCAAACCCCAGATGAAGTTCAGCATTCAAACCATGTGCCCCATAGAAGGAGAAGGGAACATCGCTCGATTTCTCTTTTCCCTGTTTGGGCAGAAGTACAATGCAGTTACCTCGACTCTGATCGACAGCTGGGTGGACACAGCCCTCTTCCAGCTGAAGGAAGGCAGCAGCAAGGAGAGAGGAGCAGTGCTGCGCTCCATGAACGCTGCCCTGGGCAGGAGCCCGTGGCTGGTGGGCAGTGAACTGACACTGGCTGATGTGGTGGCCTGGAGCGCGCTGCAGCAGACGGGCACGGCCGGCAGCGCCCCCGCCAACGTGCACAAGTGGATGAAATCCTGTGAGAATCTGGCACCTTTCAGCTCTGTCATGAAGCTACTCAAGTGAGCCCCTACCCTTCACAGTGATGTTGTTTTAATCTTACTCCACCTCATGTCTGCTGTAATGTTTGAATCCTTTCTGAGATGTATTTTAGGTATTACAGTTGGACAGAATCCTAAAATAATAAAAGCATTACAGCTGCCTTTTGGGTGTGACCTTCCTTTTTTGTAACTCTTGTGTAACACGGCTACGGTATGTAAATTAATCCTACATAAACACAGCCTGTACTCTTAGTTTTTCCACTGCAACGTGATTCTTTTCTCAGGAGCCTTTGGTCAAGGCAAAAGGATAAATACCTTTTAAGAACAGACAGCCAAATGAAAATGCATTGAAGTATTTTATGTAAAAAAAGAAACATATAACTTAACACACGATCAAGGATAGTTCTTCCTGTATTTAAACAGGAGAACCTTGTCTTGTTTGTTCATCTTGCTCTTCAGAAAGCTGTCTTATTGTCTCCCTCAGCTTCTCTATTTCTTCTTCTTGCTGTCTCACCTTCTGTTGGAGGTTAGAAATAACCTGAAAATGAGAGTCAGTTTACTTCATTTATAGCTAAACAAGGATATAAAGCCTTATTGCCCTACTTGAATTGTTCTTGCAATCCACTACAGACACAGTGCAGCAGCACTCAGCTATTCTGCATTGGAGTGACTATAACTTAAATCCACAAAGCAGTGGGGCATGGAAAGGAAAAATTATTAGAAGAATCTGCAGCTGTGATGAAAAGCTTTGAAAGCTTTTCTGACCTATAAAAATGCCTCTCAACTGTACAGTCTTCAGAAAGTTGCCTAAAGTTAATGACCAGCTATCTCACTGCAAAGACACCAGAAATAATACAGTGGCCTAAATACTGTAATCAGAAAAAGAGTCTTAAGAGGAACGTGCGATTAAGTTCAAAGCCAAACACATGTAATGCAGGCAGGGATACAAAGGGCATTTTCTTTTTCTGTTCCTTTAGGCTGGAAGGGTTGGGGTTGCTGGCAGGAGTTACCTGGTCTGTGCTGTGGAAGAGTTCACTGTCCCGGAGCTGAGGCGCTGTCGGGCGTTCTGCAGCCCTTGGACTGGTGAGGAGTTGCACGTACTTGGCCTGAGTGGGCCATTTCTTGTAGAAAGTGGGAGGAATCTGGCCAGTCCTTAAATGTGTAAGGACTTCTGTTCTTTCCATTTCTGTTCCAAATGGTTGGAAGAGTTCTAGCAGGACAACACCCAAGCTGTACATGTCTGACTGTTAATGGGGTGAAGAGAAAGTTCTGGGATAATTGCTGTTTTAACTTAGTGGGCTTCTTTTTCTCATAAAATCATTATGTGAAAAAGTTTCACAACAGTGAAGTTTCATGATTATATGAAGAGTATCATGACACTTCTAAACACAAATTCAAATCTATATATCATTTTATTATTTACTATGTTATCAACATAGCAAAAAAAAAGTTTTGCTTTAACTGCAAACGAGAAGGGAAAGTTGAAATCAGCGTTTCAAGAAAAACACTAGGAGTGACAGTAGGAGGAATGTTTGTGTATTTGCCAATTGAAAGGCTTGATTTATTTCTATTATCTAGCATGTTAATAGAGAAAACAAGAAACAAACCAAAGTTCTCTACCTTGAAATCATAGTGAGATCCCTGCAGTTGTTCTGGTGAGGCATAGAGGCAGGTCCCCACTCCTGAGGTATGTGTCAGTCCTTTGAAAGGCAATTGAGACTTAGCAAGTGTTGTTACCCTTGCAAGTAACAGTTTAATGATTTTAATACCATAGAAACTTAAACACTGAAAGCTTTGACACTTTCTTCTCTTACCATTTATCCGTTCTGTCAGAAACCCCTGCTCTGCATCATCCCAAAGAAGGTCCTTGCAGGCTAATCCAAAGTCACCTATTTTTACCTGATGATCTGATCCATGTAGAAAGATATTTCTAGGCTGCAAATGAAGACAGAGTACAATTAAGAAATATGTCTACATAAAGAATTACAGAATTTCAGCTGTTTCAAAGTCTGTAAAATCCAGTGTTTCACAGGTATAAGATGATTATTTAACATTTTTAGTAGTGGGAGAGAAAAAATAGTCATTGCTGATACCAAATCATGTGCTGGCAACACCATTTTGGCTAAAAGACCACATACCTAGAACAAGAAAAAAAAAAAAGGAAGAAAAGCAAAACAGAAAAAACCCAAGATTTAGTGAAAACATTAAGTACATTTTTTTCCCCAACAGAAACTGGGAAATTTGCAGAACAGGAACAGGCAGAGTGGACAGTAAATTTGTCCAACTGATGTAGCAGGAAGGATGACTAAATATCATTGGGCTAGACATAATACAACCCAAAATACACTTTTCTCTATGATAAGCAGCTACAATATGCTACTTGGTTCTGAGAAGCTGCTAGGAAAAAAAAAGCAGATTATGACAGACTTGAGAGCTCTGACTCCGAAAACTGAAACAGTTTTTATCCATATGTTTTGGTTTTAGGATCACTAAGAAGGAGAAATGCCAGCTTTATGTACCTAGAAAAATTCCCCAACTTGTTCAGGTGGCACAAAGGAAATACTTGGTCTTTTATTAGTGTATAAAGGAGATGTGAATAGTTTAAAAAGAGATGGGCAATCTCCATTCTTTTCCTTTATTCAGTGCAGATCAAACTGAAAAGATGCAGCACTGTTGAACAAGTTGCTAGGCTTCTCATATGCACTGAAGTAAAAACATATCCAGGACACCCACCCACTGGGCTTCTGTTCTCAGAAATTCACACACTGAAAGACTTTCTTAGAATGTTATCCCAGAAATTACAGTCTCTGCTAGGTATCTGCAAAATCACCATTAGAAGAATACATGGTGAAAACCACGAGAACTGGCTCAAAACCAGGTCTGCAGTAACTGTATGGAATTCTGGAATTCTTTATATAACTTCCAGACTTTGGACAATAAGGCCAGGATGATGCTAAAGGGGGAGGCAAAATGAAAAACTGTTCACCCTGGAACAGTTGACAGAAAAATGAAAATTAATCCAGAGTGAAGATTGTGTGCTTTCAAGTAGTTCCAAGCTTCCACATGTGAAGTTTTAATAATCATGATTTCTTCATACAGCTGCTGTATCAGATGCAAAAAACCTGAGTAGGAAGCAAAGTAGGAAAATGTACATTCACTTCCTTGCTATTCAGGTCTATCAGTAAGCAAGCAACTTACTGATATAAGTTGAAACATATTAAATATGTTCTATAGAACATATTTTCAAAAGCTAACTGTGTGCAGTTAGCAAACTGAAGTGTAGTCAACGGGTTTTGTTAATTTTTGTAATCACCTAAAATACTCTTTTTTAGGTAATTAGTTCCTATCCTGATTAAGGAAAGACACATAAAACCAATCTGACCAGGCTTGTTTCTGAAGGAAAAAGGCTTCAAAGGAGAAAACACCTCCAGAGCTGAAAATCCACCTGTAAGTCAGTGGGACAGTACTGTTCTGATAGTAAAGAAAGCATGGTACTGCTATGGAGGAGATTATGTATTTTCTCATATGGAACAACTGAATTCTTAAGAGCCCAGGTCATCTCTAATGCAACTATGAAGCTGCTTTCACTCTTCCATTATGTAAATTGTCTGGTTTTTCTTCAACCTCAATTAAAATCTTGATGAACTTACTTTAATGTCTCGATGCATCACTCCCATGCTGTGGATATAGCAAACTCCTTCCACTACCTCCTGGAAAATCTTCATTGTCCAGTGAACATCCACGACATGGTATGGACCTTAAAACAAATGATTTCACCTGGTTTTACTGAGTTATGTAAGATTATGGTGGTAATCTGCTTGAATTATGTTTATTATGCTGTGGAATAAATTTTTAACAGAATGAGTGTATTTTAAATATGGACTTTGCCATGCTTTTCTCAAGATATTATTTCTAAATCAGCCAAAAGTCACTAACATCAAAATTCCAAAAAGGGATGTTCAGGGAACATGAACATAAATCTTCCTGAAGAGATTCTTCCAAACCCCATCAGATAGTTATTTGATAATGAATTTAGCAAACTTTTTACTTTCACTTAAATCCTGACCTAGCATGAAAAATAGAGTTCCAGATAAAATCATAAGAATTTATGTAGTGACATGCTGTCTGTATTGCTTTGCACTCTTCTTGTTTTATTCCTAACCCTTCTGCTGCTGTGCCACCCTCTGAAATTCCTCAATCTCCTCTGGCTGTAGCTGTCCTAAATAAACTTAGCACCTCCTTGTTTTGACCATTTTCCCCATTACTATTTTATTAAACTGTATTATCTCCCTGCTCTAATGAACCATAGTTAACATGTCTTTTTGAACACTCACCATTTACTCCCATTGGATTTCTAATCTCTTCATGTCTAACCTATGATAATCACCTTTTCCATGAAAAGGTGTGAAAACAGCATTTTGCAAGCTCAAATGCCATCATAATTCTGTCATTTCCTGGAACATCATCATTTAGCTCATAAAAGCTAAAATATTATGATGACAGGAGAGATTAGTGGAAGTCAGCTGACAGTTTGCTGGTAAACCTGTCTCTATGAATGAAAACAAGAGATTTACCTTGATAGTGATTAAAACCAAGAGAAAACATTAATCACACATTTTGTTTTACAACCTGATGTGCACAAGCTGCTTTTATACAATCACCCCAGAGAATGGAACAAGTCTCTACTGCTTTAAGAGCATTGGATTTGTTCTTCCAAATGTCAACAGTTATGATGACTGCTTGGTAGGAGGGCATGAGAACCCCCTGGTCACTCAGAAAAAGTCAATGTTACATTCTTTAACCTATTACAAATTAACCTGTCTGGATCAAATGATATCATTGTATCTTCTGCAGCAGATAAATGAGCCTTTAACCAGCTTTCTGAGAAGCAGCAGATTCTGTCAATAAAAAACTCAGTTCCAAATAAGGAGTATTGCCCAGACACTGATCTCCCCTGGTAACAACTCTGCCTCAGGCATTCAGTCATTCTTTTTTGAGGAGCTGTCTAAAACTCAGGAATTTCAATTCTTTTACTAACATCTATCATGCACAAATTCAATACAAGCTGCTATTCGATTAAGTGAATAAAGAATTTAATAAAGATCTGTACTATAAGCTGCTGAAGTAAAATAAAATTAGATAACTGCATGTCAAATTACCAAAAAAAAAATTATTTGCTTTACAATGAATAAGACAGTGATGAATCTTACTAGAAGTGTCCTCTGATCTTTTGTTACATCTTTTATTACGGTCAGCAATCCAGTCCCACAGGGATATTTCACACAACTGCATTTGGATATGAAGCATCAAGTGATATTCCACCTACCAGAAAAATAATGGTCCATAATTTTGCCATTGTAACATGAACAGGATTTCCTTAGTTATTTTTTAAAAATAAATAAACACAAAATTTATTAAACAAAAACAGGTACCAAAAGGACATCAAGTATAGTATTAGTAATCTACTGCACTCAAGAAGCAGATGCAACAATGCTATCTAGTTTTGGGGAGTTTTTTCCTTTTTTCTCAAATTTTAACAATTGTTATATGATAAATGCTAACAAAACTGCCAGATGCATCTTTGAAATTCAAATTAGAGTTTGAAACCTTCTAGAAATACGAAACAGAGGTTTATGCCAGCTTAATCAATATAAAATAGCAGAAAAAAAATCAACTTCATACAGAATTTTATGGAATGACAGAATTGTTTAGGTTGGAAAAGGCCTTTGAGTCCAACTGTTTGATTTTTTACCATAAATATGTAGCTCAGTTTCTGGTAAAGGACCAGTTCATCTGATAACCTGGACAACTCAAGCAGACACCTTTAAAACTGGGTTTCTTCCAACAGGGAACTCCAAGTGATAGCAAAAGCCTGAAGCATTCCAGAGCTGGCTTGCTATACAAAACATAGCAGTGGTATGGTATAAATGACAATAAGGTTTTAGAAGCACAAGTGATTCACTGCTCAAATCTGCTTTTATCTCCTTCCCATGTACTCCTACACTGCAGGGGCACCACATGGCACACCAAAACACTTTCACCATTAACAGCTGCTTTACCTTTCCTCAGTGAAAGCTAAATATTTTCAATTGTGATGAGGCTGTTTAATGCAGTAGTACTACTTTTTATTCATGCAGGTACTTTGAAAGGACTCAAGAGGCCCAACACATGGAAAGTTCCTCACAGATGCTGAGCTTTGCCAGCTGCTCTGGTCAGCTTCCTTGCAATGATGTTACCCACGTAATAAAATTTGTCTGAACTCTTGGCTCTACTTGCAGTCATTCCATTCTTCTAAATTTATTGTTATAAATCATTCATTTTCACTGTCTACTGAACTACTTTAAATACATCACCAAATTAGACAGCAGATAAGGATACTTAAAGAGAACTGTATTTACCTCAAACTCTCCACAGAGTGCTACCTCATTTTTGGAGCATCCTTCAGAGCAGGACTTGCTTTCAGAGCAGGACTCACTTTCAGTGCTAGCACCTTGATCCAGACTGGAATGAGGTCCCCATGTTGAATGATTGTCCATATCAGTTGATAAACTGTTATCATTATTTACAAAGCCTTCTTGTAGTTCTGTGGATAATTCACCTTTATTTGGTTTCTCACCTTCTTTGCTATTGCTGTTTGTAAAGTCATTCCTCACATCCATATTCTGCACTGATTCTCTATTCACATTTTTAGGACTGGTACTGTCACAGGACTTCTTTTCTTCTGAGGTAAGGTCAGCAAAGATAATTGAACTACCACTTTCCACACTCTGGATGTGGCAGTGATCACTGAAAACAACAAAGGCAGAGAAATCCAAATTAGTGCACAGTTTCATACCATCTGTGATTCACCATACTGATTTTTTTCCCCAATTGCAAACAGCATTCCCAAGTAAGAGTTCAGCTGCTTCCCCCCATAAAACTCCAGGGTTACATAACTGTCAGTGCAGGCTCCAGCTGATTTAACACTTTCTACCAGCAGGTATTTTGGACAGCTGTCCCAGCCAGCAATGTCTCACATACACAGCTGAAGCTAAAGTTGAATGTGTTACCACTGAGATTAGTAATACTCACTTGCTATTCTTTTGCTCCAAAACTAGTGGCTGCAACTCCATTACTGTTTTACCTGTTGGATGCAAAGATAAATATGGTATTTCATAAAACAAAGAATGCATCCACATATTTACTAAAAATTACCATTTAAGCTAGAGCACCTCACTTAATTTAACTTTGTTACCTAGATTATCTAGGTTATCTCTCTATTTAGATTATCTCTATTTCTGCTGCTGCAAAAGGGGCTTGTTAAGTCTACTAAGAAGCTACCCTAACATCCAATTCATTTATCTTTAAATGAAAATATACATTGTACAAAGTCAATAAAAGGGTTGTACTGGGCTTTCATAAATATCTACTTAGACTTCATCTTTCAGAAGTCAGCCTGTTCAAAGCAGGGGTTTACAATGTAGAGAATAACACACAGTTAAAGAAGCAGCTCCACAAGGCATCACCCCTCACATCACACTGCTGCTGTTTTTAAGACACTTGATATCTTGGAAATGATTGTCATTAAAATTGTATTTTTATATGAAAAAGCTGTTTCAGCACACAGAAGCAAATATAAAACATCAATCTTGTAAGGCAAGGGAAACCATTAAGTACCACAGAAGCTGCCTAGAGATTTCATGATGCACTTCCATTACCACCATTAAATTCTTATGAAGGACCCCCAGCATTAAACAATTGCTTCCCTTGATTCTCTGGACCATTGGTTAAAAAGTTTTGCCTGTTTTACTCAACTGTCCATTTCCTATGCACTTATGCATTTTCTTTTGTGCTTATGGCTGGTTGGGCAACAAGTCAGTGACTTGGAAAGCAATAAAGTTATACAGAGCATAACCAAACCTCCCACTAAGAGAGGATCAAAAGATTTAATTGCTAAAGGCATTCCAGGAAAGGACTAGAAAGGGACCAATGGATTAGGGTTACAAAGGGAACAAAGGACAGAGTGTGCAAAGAGCTGAGAACAAAGAACCTGAAGAGAAAAACCAAGAAGAAGGTGTAAAATAACACAAAAGTAGATAAATTCTCAGCAGTTACAGACAGTAACTGATACACAAAAAAAATCCAATTGCTTTGTCAGTGCAGGACTACGAAACACAATTCATCAAATTTAAAAAGTCTAACTTGGAAAGCAAAATAAAGAGTTTTTGGTGGGGGGGTTATCATTAAAAGTATGTATTTCCAGGTTCTTTTAATTTTTTTTAGATCTTTTCCAGATCCAAAGAGAAGCTTCTTCTAGTGCTGCTACATCTCTGAGACTTCAAAACATAGTTGGAAATGTGTGGGGTTTTTGTCCTATTCACCTTCCCCCCAATATCTGAGGCAGCTCATTCCTCAGCATTCATTCTTCATCAACTCAGCACTTCTTACATTAAAAGGTTTTCACTGCATTTCACTGATCTTCACACAATTTTAAATTCATCCTCATATATTACCACAAGTAAAGTTGATATTTCCACAGTTCCAAATTAATCACTAAGTAACAGATAAATTATTTGGTAAGGAAGGATTGAATGCACAGAAGGACCTGGTGATCACCAGTAATTTTCCTTTCTTTTAAGGAGGGGAAAAATAGTCATTTTATCAGAGAAGTAACACTCTCCTGAAAACAGCAGTAACAGAGGTTGTAGGATGCAAGCAAGAATTACACAATGAGCTGTACTTTCCTTTTGGATGCACTGTTTGAACTTGTTCCATCCAAGCAGTGTGATAGCCTACAATATTGGGATGCTGCAGCCCAGCCAGCACTTTGACTTCTCGGAGCACCTAAAAAGAGCAAAAAACCCACAGTGTGACACTCCTTTATTCTGTGTGCTTAGTAAACATAAAAGGTAACAAAAAGAGAGTTTCTTAGAGAGAAAGAACAGATAAAATTGTTACAGTAACAGAAAAAAAATTGAAAGCTTTAAAAGAAATGGATTTGCATCATTGCAGAGATTACCAAATTCAAGTAATTAAATAGTTCTTTTAATGGACTTCAATGCACCTCATTTACTTTTTTTCTACTAGGTACTGGTAGGTTCAAGCCCTTAGAAATTCAGAATGCATAAAAACTTGTATTAGCTGCATTAATAAACTAGAACAGAATAAGCTACAGAGGAGTTAAAACAGGGACAAAACACAGGAAGATGAATACCTTCATGCAATCTCTTCTTGTAGCCTTCTTAATTTTAATTTTTTTAATAGCATAGAACTGACCATCTAACTTGTTTCTGACCTGAAAACAATTGCAATAGGAGAAAATTAGATGTTAATTTGCTTAATGAAATCCTTTTGAATCCACTATTTTCTAAAATTTTATTTCTGCACCCCATTCCTATGGAATATCACCTGTATCAGGGAATGAAACTGGGCTTAGGCCCCTGCTGTCATACAGGGATACTGATAGGTCCTGATAATGGTTAAACAGGTCCTCAATAAATAAGTGAGACCACATTTGTCATTTCCACATGGCACACACCTCATGGGGAACCTTGGGCTGGCCATACACTACAAGTCCTTAACACAATTCAACATTGGCTTGGACAGTTTATGCTCATACTGAGGCTCATTTTTTAAAAGCAGCCACAACTGAAGCATTGGGGAGTGCAGGCCAATCACTTCTGATGCTGTGTAGAGTCAATGTATCATAATAACTCACATGTCAAATAAGGAGCTTTCATTCACTCTAAAAGGGTCAAAATACACAAAGTAAAACATCTGATATATCCTGCTTCTGGCAAACAAAACTAATTGCAACTGAGCAGCTTTTGAAATGAAACACCAACTTTCTTCTAAGGTACAGATTTCACTGCTTTTATTCAAAAAACATTTGGCAGTACAGCTAAAAGAGTAACTCCAAATTCCAGCAAAAAACTAGATATAAACAGAGTAGCCTTATGTGGGAGGTAAAGAATACCTTGTATACTTTGCCATATCCTCCACTTCCTAGCCTTGCAACCTCCTCAAATTCATTCAAGTATCGTGAAGTCTGTGCTTCAAAGAGAACTTCTTTTTCCCTAATTGAGAAAAGTTAGGCTGCATTAAACTAAATTACAACTTACAAGTAAGATACAGCTGTACACATGCTAAAAATATTATTCATGTTATGAAAAGAAGAAGAAAGTACTTTGATATTACCATACTGAACCAGCCTGAGTTTCAGTATGTTTCAGTAAATACTGAAAACCAGCAGACAGAAGACCATGCATATGTGCTACAAATTCATACTCTGTTTCATTTACAAATCTGTGTTCAGGTTATTTCTTTTACATTGGTGCCTAACAAATTGTTTTCCTAAACAGGGGCACTGACTGCAAGAGTTGTACTGAAGAACAAATTATCACCACATCATTTTGAGTATTTGGAGAAACCTTTGCCATTTTTTCTGTTTCACAGCCAAAATATGAAATGCAGTATTAATTAAATATAGAGTGGAGCACAGAACTTTAGGGAAAGAGCTAATTTAGTATTTCTACATGCTTTGAATACATACCCAATTGCAAGAGACTCTCCGTTATCAAGTTCCTATGAAACAACAAAATCCAACATAAAAACATGCCATATAAAAAGAGTAACAGGTCTGCTGTGCCAGTGGCATGGACAGCTTCATCAAAACAGAAACTCCAACCTCCTTGGAAGAAAATGAGGTTCTGCCAGGCATTCACATGCTGCAGAGAGCTTCACCAAATTAAAGTATTATTATCCCACTGGTAATCTGTTAACATCTCTCTGCTGGAGAGATTACTGCCCTTTTAGAGTTCTGCTGGCAAACAGGATAAAATGAGGACTCTAAGATGTGCTTAAAACAAAATTAACTAGCTTAGTTCAAGCAGTGAGATAAGCAGACAGGTCTGATTCAGCCTGAAGTACAAGCACACAAACTACACCCTCCACTAATATAAACATGAGAGTGTTAGCAACACCTTGCCTTTGTTTATAAACATTTTAACTTACTTTATTATTACTATTTAATAAGGTACAAAATATTGATGGCTTCAAAAACTGGTTTGCACCTACAGAACCAGAGCATGCCATCCCAAAGAGCTAAGGAATTATTTTGTATAATTATTAAAAAGACCCAATCCAACATTAAAAGAACCCCTAAACAAAAGCTCCTTCCTGCAGAGGGTGCCAAAGACATGTAACAAAGCTTACCCCTTTAAGCACTCGTTGATTAGCTGCTTTCATCAGCTCAGTAACAGCTCTGTTGTGCTGCAGTCTTATAGTACTAAATTCATCACAAAAGACAAAAGGGGAGAGTAACCCTGTTCTGGTGAAAGTCTGACGAAGAACTGCACAAAGGAACAGAGAAAGGTCAGAGAAATATTAAATAAGCCAAATCCAATAAGACCACATAAAGTTTTTAAACATGAGATCTTATTTGAAAGATAAGGTGACTGAAAAACTGAATAATCCCTCCTGCTCTAGTGCTGTTCTGTACCCTTAGCAATTAAAACTAATTCAAACCAAACTAGAGCTGCTCAATGGGAATCCCTTCACAAAATACAATTATTTGCCATGCCTTCCATGGCCACAACTGCATCTCCTCTGCCTCCTCACCTCAGCAGATGAGTTAAACAAACACTTTCATTTTCACTTTCACCCATTCACTTACGTTTTACTTTTGGACTGATTTTGATCAGTGAAAAGAAAAAATCAAAGCAGGTTCACAATTATGAGGATGGATTTATAATCAAAAGTGGTAATGTCAAGATTTTCTAATTTCCACCCAAACCCACACACGTGTGCACATACTCATAATACAGAATGAAGTCACTCCCTTCCACCACTTCATCTTTCATATGGAGTAAAACAGCTGTGGCAAACATCCCTCAGAAATGCTGGAGATGGGTGCAACTGTGATGTTATAAATGGCACAAATTTAACTATGAAAAACACATTTTGTTTTCTATAGTCATGTAAAGTAAGGACAAAACCCTAGGAATGCTTTCTTAAATGCACTAAGTATACACCTAAATGAACAAAGTACCAATGGTAAGTCATATACCAAGAAGATCTTTTTAAAAATGTGAATTCCTTGAATGATATCAAGAGATTTTATGTCAAAATAAAGAACTTATAAAGGTATTTACTCAGATTTTCACAGAATATAATTTTGAAATGTTTAGTGAAAACTCTACTGCAACTATTTCTTGATAAATATTTTATTAAATTCCTATAATACCAGCATTTTTAGATTACGTGTAACAGTAATATAATTTACCCTGATACCCTTCTCATGATGCAACTCACACGATCTAGCTGAAACAGAACTGTCTGATCCTTACATCTACAGCAATATGCTGTTACTGTTTTCCAAAATAAGACAAGGTGTCATTGCCAATTTAGTTGATTTAAGTTATTCATCCTCTTCACAGAATCGTTCTTGTCCCAGCGGGATGAAACCTACAGCTTTGCAGTGGTATTACACCATAACTCTACACAGAAGGCTCTGGTACACATTGCAGTGAGGCAGTTGGAGAGACACGAACGAACTCCTCTTACTAACTTCGGAACAAGCCCCTGGAGTGAACGGGGTTGTGCGTGTACATGTGGCAGAGATGCTCCAGCAGTGACACAAGCAGCAGCTGGTTCTGGATGGTCGAAGTGAACTTCACAAATTTTTGCGAACTGTTTGCAACTCGCAGCTCCGCCGGCACATCCGAATCTGGAAGAGGACAGTCAGACGAATGAACTTTGGCCTCAGTACACACCCATTTACCTAAACACGAAAACAATGTACAGCCACACAGCTTCATCACAGCCCCGGCTCACAGAGGCAGCACCCAAGCTGCCAACTGAGCGAGTGGTTTTAAGAGGCTAATTAGGAACTTAATTAATTTTTTTAAGTGTGCACAGAAAGCAGCTACCCGGGGAGGCCGAGGCGCCCCAGCCCGAGGCAGGGGGAGTTCGCACGGCGGCCTCAGGGCAGGGCGCTGCTGAGGGCCTGCCCGCTCTTGCATCACCCCTGCGGCCGCCGCTGCCTCAGAGCGGCGGGGAAGGACGGGAAGAGGAAGACGACGGTTCTACCCTCCTTCCCTCCCTGCCAGCCGGGGGAAAGGCGCCATTTCCCCGCTCGCCCACAGGGCTGCCGCCGGCCCCGCTTACCGTCAAAGCGCGGCTCCGGGCTCTCCTCAGGGAACTCGATGGCGGGCACCGGCGCCCGCATGGCCGCAGCCCTCCCGCCCCTCACATGCCGGGCACCAGGATCCCATCCGCTGCAGCCGGCGGGGCCCGCCCGGCCCGCCGTGGGCGGCTCCGGGGGCCGGGCCAGCGTTTATGGCCGCTCTTTGGGCGCGGAGAGATAAAACATGGACTGGAGGGATAAACCCGAGAAGGGAACCTTCGGCCCAAGAGGCGGGGACGGGCGAGCAGGAGCTCGTACCGAAGGTCTGCGGCGGGGAGCGGAGCGTCCCCTCCCCTCCGCACGGGGACCGACACCGCCCGCAGCCCGCGTGAGCCCCGCGCCCGGACCGGGGGTCGCCGAGCCCCCTCTAGCGGCTCCCGGCCGCGGCACAGGGGCGGTGCCGGTCCCCGTGTGACCCGGAGGCGCTCGCTGCTCCCCCCGCCGCCGCCGCCGCCTCCTCTCCTCCCCCCGCCCGCCTGCCCGGCCGGCGCCGGGCCCCGGATGCAAGAGGCCGGCGGAGGGACGTCATTGTTCCCCGACGGACTGTAACAGTAGGCGGAGCGGGCCGGGCTGAGGCGGGGGCTGCGGCGAGGGGGACCCGGCAGCGCCGAGTCAAGCGGGGCCGAGCCAGGTAATGGGGCTGGGGGGCAGCGCCGGGCCCGGCGGCGGCCCCGGCACAGCCCGGCGGCACCGCGTGCGCCTCCCGCCTGGAAATCAATGGGCCGGGGGGAGGGGCCGGCCCGGGAAAGGGAAGGGAAAGCGACCGGCGGGAGCAGCCGGCTCAGCCCAGCCCACCGCGCCGGGGCGCGGGCCGGGCGCTCGGCCGCTGCCCTCCTGGCTGGCGGGCAGCCGGAGGGGGTGGGACCCCCGGGCGGGGCGGGGCGCCGTCCCCAGCACGCGGCGGAGGGACCCAGCCCCGCCGCCGCCGCCACCCCCTGGGCCGGCGGGACCGGCCCCCTCCCGGCGCGGCGGTGCTCCCTCGCCCGCCCGCCCTCTCCGTTACGCGCCGGGGTCCCGCCGGCGCCCGCATCTCCTTCCTTCTACTCCTGCCGCTGTCGGCGTGGGGGACTCGGCGTGGGTCCCCCGCGTCCCGGCGCAGGCGGGAGGGCGGCCGGGACGCCCCGGCCCCGCGTCCCGCGGCGGGAGCGGCGCTGCGCCCCGCCTGGCCCCGCGTTGTTCCCGCTCGGCGCGGCGGTGGTGGCTGCCGCGGCCCCTCCGCCCCGTGCCCGGGGGGCTCCGCGCTCGCTTCGCCGCCCCCCCACCCGCGTTGCCATGGGCACGGAGCCGCCGTTGGGCGCCGCCGCCGCGGTCCTGCCCCCGGGCCGGGATGGGACGCGGGCCCGGACAGGTCAGCACGGGGCCGGGCGGCGGAGGCGGCATGGCATGGGCGGGGAGCCGCGGGGCTGGGGGGCCGGGCGGTGTGACGGGTAGAGGAAGAAGGGCGAGGCGGGAGCTCCTTCAGGGCCGGTTCCCGGCCCCCTTCGCCTGCGTGTCGGGCTGGTTTTGTTTTGTGTGTGTTTGGGCTCTTGCCGCGCTGAGTGCGGACATGTTGCGTGCGGTGCCCGTCCCTGCCCCTGCCAGCGGCCTTTTACTGCCGGTGTCAGCACGTTTTGGGGAAGCGGGACCCCTCAGAAGGGCAGAGCGAGGGAAAGCGGGTCGGTGCTGCGGGCTTGGCGCTGGCGGGGCGGGCGGTTCGGTTGTGAGCGGGCTCCGGGGCTCGGGGCCGCCCGGAGCGAGGCGCTCGCGGGCGCTCGCGGCGCCGGGCTCGGTCCCGCCACAAGCAACGGCCCCGGGACACGGAGCTTGGAGCTGCCCCGCGCCGAGCGCTCCCCGCCGCCTGCTCTGCCAGGGTAAAAGCATTAATCACTTTCGCCTCTGCTGCCTTTAATTTTGTAACGAAAGTAAAACCAGCGCGGGGCGTGTGTTTGTGTTCTGCGCTGCCCGGGGTTGTTTTTGCTGCCGGCGGCGTGTGCGGTGCGGTCGGTGATGTAGCGGGGTGACTCTGCCTGGGCTTCTGCTGGAGTAGTTTCCTCCTGCTCCTTGTTTGTGCCTCGGTGTTGCCGTGTGCCGCTCTTGTTTTCTGACACTCGCTGCTGGAAGTGTTTGGTTTGTACTGAGATAAAGGCACATACTCCCTGGCTGAACGCGGTTCTGTGACCGGGATCTTGTATAAAACCCTCCTGAGCTGTGATTTATTGTATGCAAAGCGGAGACCAAACATAAATATTTAGATCCGAGTATTAACTGATGCGTGTTGTGATGAGACTGCGAAAAAAGAATTAAACAACGCTGATGCATCACTCCAAATGGGAGGAAAGCAACTGTTTGTGCTGTTTTGCTCGTCAGTATCACACTGTGAGAAGTCTGTTATGGGAATAGCAGAGGGGAAAAGAGCTCAGTACACATGGCAATGTGAATTTATGTTCAGCAGTGGTACAGGAGCAGTGGGAAAATATCTGTGTGATGTTTGTGCTACTTCATCAAAAGATGTTATATCCAAATTAATTATATTGACAGATTTTGAAAAAGTGGTGGATCTGAGTTATTTTTGACATCCGTTGATATTTGCAGGTGTCTAGTGTTTGATATCTGGTAATCAGTTTTCAAAACTAAATTAGCAGCACCAATCAGTGCTACTCAGATGTCAAAAATAAATTTAAAAATACGTGAGGCTTCCCTCATTGGTCAGTATAAGGCCAAAGCTTTTTTGTGATAATATTCTTCTGTTTGCTTTTCACTGCAGTCTTGATTCTGGTTTTTGTCCTGCAAATAAGTTCATTATGTTGTTGAAACCCCTTCCCTTTCCATCAGGAAAAGTAGATGTCACCAGTATCTGCAATTTGGAGTCTGGATCCTTCCTGAAAATCACTAAGCCCAAGAATTGTCATCTTAGTCTTTGAAATGGACAAGGATGTCCTCATTTTTCAGTAACATAGGTGAATTTTCCATTTTTTGTGTGTTATCATGTCTAAAATGGAAAGTGTGTACAGGGAAGATTTTAAATTGAAAATTTAGAGGGGAAAAAAATCTAATTAAAGGTTCCACACATGATTTGTCTTTTGTGGGACTGGAAGTTCTGTGATTTACTGTGCTTTGTTTAATCTGCTGGAAGTTTCATCATTAGCAATCAAGTTGTGCCATGAATCTGAAACTGCTTCATGCTTTGTTCTCTCAGTTATTTTAGTGTTACAAAGCAGGTTATACTTTAAACCCTCAGTTAAGTTTATAGTTTCCCTAAACTTGAACAGGCCCTACATGATAGAGTACGATAGTAGTAAAAATTTATATATAGGAGTTGATAATTGATCATGTAATTATTCAGCAGCTTACTGTGCACACAACATTACATGTATTTAAAGAGGTATCATCTTGAAACGTAATCAGCATTTTATAAATGACTTAGTATCAGTAATTGCCTTTATTCTTGAAGGCTGAGGATTAGGATTTGTTTTGCTTTCTGTTGCGGTCATCATTTTCTTTTTATAGTTTACATTCCTCTTTTGTTTTTCCCTGGCAAAACAACTTTACATAAGTAGAACTGAAAAAGATGCTTTTGAATTCAACTTCTTGGTTTATAAGTAAGCATTGTAAATGATGGGCGCAAAATACCACAAGGAGTGCTGCCAAAATCGTATCCAAACAAATACTTCTTGGAAGGGCAGAAGAAACCCAGGTGGAAATAAATTTGCAAGTGTTTTCTAGCTCTTCCTTCCCAAGATTTCTCAGAGCTGTTTCCCATGCTCTGTGTCATCAGGGCTGTGTGGTTCCCAGGAGCAGGAAGATTTTGGTCAGACAGTTCCTCCTGGATCTCAACAGGCCAGCACTTGATTGTGCCACTGCTCACAACTTCTTTTAAGAAAAAGATCTTGGTAACTGTAGTGGTTTAAAATCCCATGAAAGTGTAAGAAATGCTATCAGTCAGTAACTCAGCAGAAGTTAAAAAAATATTGATGCAGTTTGGATGGAAAAAATATACTTTGTGCACTCAGTTGTGGGTTGGGTGGAGTTTTTTGGTGTGTTTTGGGGTTTTGTTCCCTTGTTTGTAATCATTCTTAGCTGTTGAGTTCTTCAGGCTCTTTGAGACTAAGGGGCAGGATTTCTCTTACTCTTTCCTTTCTGGAATACTTTGGACGTTCTTATACCAAACAGAACTTTTGCCTTGTTACAGATATGAACAATGACCATAGTTAACAAGCCAAAATCTTCAAAGTCTAAAAAATCTTCCTCAAGACGCTCTGACAAATCTATGAAACCCCGTACTAAAAAAATGACGTCTCGCACTGCAAGTTTGGGCCGGGTACCTCCTACAGAAGATCCAAACAAAGTCTCTGTGGACAAAGGTCCTGGGGGGCATATTTATTGTAGATCATCTCAAAAATCAAAGCCTTTTGCCCAAAGAGATCTAGGTAAGTGTCTTCTGTCCTCCCTCCTTTTTGTTGAAAACAAAACCAAAGTAGAAGCAGAGTTGAGTTGTTGCATTGCTATAAAATAGGACTAGAGCAAATCAAGAGTTCAGCCTTTAATTTTTGTGCATCCCCTAAGGCAGCTGCAGGGAGAGGTGTTGCAGAACTTGGGTTTATCTATTTACAATTGATTTGTAAGGTATTTATTATTTATGTAAAATCAAATAAGGGGAGCTTTTCATAATGCATGGATGTACCCAGGTCTCTTCTGTTCTGGAGAGAAAAGTACATTTTACCATGTCTATTCATGGCTTCCATTATTCACAAGTCTTTGAATAAAAACCCTGCCCAGGAAGAGATCTGATATCTATGGGGTTACTTTTTGTGCTGTTTACTTGTCTGTCTGACTTTTCTTACTGCATAACCACAAGCGTAAGTTTGTGGTTTAAGTTACGATAAGGAAAAAACCAATAATTTAATTAAGAGTTTAAAGCATACAGAGATAAAGAAATTGGGTACTAAAATCAGAGTGGGAGTTTGTGTCTTTTATTAGAAGAATTAAAACAGATGAATAAACTATTGTCCAAGGGAGAGTGTTGACTAGCAAATTCACAAGGAACTGTTAAAGCTCTGCACCGTGTGTTACTGTGTTTTGGGGTGGAGCTGGTTCTTCAGGCTGCTCCTGCAGAATCCTACTTTTTAAACACCCTCTTTAAAAAAAACCAGTACAACTCTTTTCAAAACACAAATTTCTTGCAGTTGTTAACGATGGGATTGCTCCGCCACAAAGAATTCTTTTTCCACCTGAGAAAATCTGTATGGATTGGCAGCAAACACAAAGTGTTGGAGTTGGCCTGCAGAACCTCGGCAACACTTGTTTCCTTAATTCTACTCTCCAGTGTTTGACCTACACGCCTCCTCTTGCCAATTACATGCTTTCACTTGAGCACACCAAGTCATGTGAGTATTTTCTAACACTCTAAATCTGTTGGACAGCTCCAAAGGTGAAAGAAAAAACGGGGTTCTATGAAGAAAATTCTTAGTTGTCCTGTTTTGCCTGTAGAAGCAGCTTTTGAGTGAGATCTTCAAGGCTTTTTCCAGCCTAAATGGTTGCATGATTTTGCTG